GGCCCACGCGGACGCCGCTGTCAAAGAGTTGGATCTGAGGATGATCCGCACAATGTCTCATTGTCATTGGCGGCTTCAGACGCGGAGGATTGGATGGGCTCTGTAGAAAACCCAGCTCCTTTGCCATCTAAACAGCGCAGCGACTCCAGGGCTGGAATTGACGCCGAGCTGATCCGCGTCCTTTCCAGTGCAGTCGACGAGCTCGGTCTCGACTGGGCCTCGCCTGAGGATCCTACACGCAGCCGCCTGGACGAATGGTTCCTGCCGGGGCGCCAACAGGCCCCTTAGCCAGAGAGCTGCGCCGTTCTTTCCAGAAGTTCACGAGGAACTTACGAAGTCATGGTGCACCCACTACTCTGCCCGCCTCCAACTTTCCACCTCAGTAGCCTCTCGTGCATCGACGGCACCGAGGAGAAGGGTTATGAGAAACTGCCACCCCTGGAAGACGGATGGAAATCCAAAGTGGCTCATCCATCCAAGCCCTGCAGGACGACCTCAGCCCTCGCGGGTAGGGCTTATGCATCCTCTGGCCAGGCAGGCTCTGCCCTCCACTCGATGGCGGTCCTCCAAGTTTTCCAGGCCAAACTCCTCCGCTCCATGGACGAGTCTGGACCAGACCCAGAAGCTTTTCGTGACCTCCGTAGCGCCACAGACCTGGCCCTGCGCGTCACTAAAGCCACCACCCAGGCCATTGGCAGGGCCATGGCCAGCTTAGTGGTGCTGGAGTGCCACTTATGGCTTAACTTAAAGGAGATCAAGGATGCGGACAGAACCGCCTTCTTAGATGTTCCAATCTCCTCCACTGGTCTCTTCGGCCCCGCGGTGGATGGATTTGCTGAGCGCTACACGACGGCACAGAAGGCATCGGAGGCAATGCGACACTTCCTGCCGAAACCCTTTAGCTCTGCAGCCTCGAGTCGCCAAAAGCCCACGCCGACTCTGCAGCAAGCTAAACCAGCACCTGCAGCTGCTCAGCCTCGCCCAGCGCCTGAGCAACGGCAGCGCTCCAATCAGGCAAAACGCTTCCCACCTAAGCTTCAGGAATAAAGGATAGGCATAGGATTACGCTGGACCCTGAACCAAAGAAGCAGTCCTGATCTGCAAAGCAGGAAGAGGGAAGGGCTAAGTCTCGCCGAGGCTGGACAGCCCTTTAAAAAGCCCAGAGTGTTACTCCAAACGCCCTGTTCAGTTCTGGCCAATGCAGCAAATGTTAAGATGGGCAGTGGGCCTGTTCAAGTTTACGCCCTCTTGTAATCGACCGCTGTTATAGCGAACACAATAAAAAACAAAAATACTTGGCAAAAGAGCATTTTCCTCTTCCACGTCACGCATCCACAATGTGTACGCAAGGTCAAAGAGATGTGTTTTTAGTCTAGCTTTGAACTGATATTCTAGGTATTATCAACTGGCCGGAATTTTGAGATCGCAATAGACGTGAAGGACCATAGTGCGTTAAGAGCTCGCTCAAGTGCTGCGGAACTAAACCATTTAGTGCTTTGTAAGTAATTAGCAATATTTTAAAATGTATACAATGTTTAATAGGGAGCCAATACAGTGTTGACAGAACCGGGCTAATATGGTCAAACTTCCTGGTTCTGGTAAGAACTTGAGCTGCTGCGTTTTGGACCAGCTGTAATTTGTTTATTAAGCGTGCAGGGCAACCACCCAGTAGATCATTACAATAATCTAGCCTTGAGGTCATGAACGCATGAACTAATTGTTCCGCATTCGTCAATGAGAGCATATGTCGTAATTTAGATATATTTTCGAGTCTATTTAAAATAATGTTGTGGTCAATTAGTATCAAATGCAGCACTAAGATTGAGTAACACTAATAGAGAGATACAACCACGATCGGATGATAAGAGCAAATCATTTGTGACTCTGATGAGAGCTGTCTCAGTACTATGGTACGATCTAAATCCTGACTGAAAATTCTCAGAGATATCATTTCTTTCTAAAAACTTAGTTGTGAGGATACTGCCTTTTCTAGTATCTTTGACAGAAAAGGTAGATTCGAGATCGGCCTGTAATTGACTAATTCTGTACGATCTAGTTGCGTTTTTTTAATCATAGCCAGCTTAAAAGTTTTTGGCACGTATCCTAGTGACAAAGATGAATTAATGATATTGAGAAGAGGATCTATGACCTCTGGAAGCATCTCTTTCAATAGCTTAGTCGATATAGGGTCTAACATGTTGTCGATTTAGATGATTTAACGAGTTTAGAAAATTCTTCCTCTTCTATAGCAATGAATGAATCGAATTTTTCCTTGGGGAGACTACAATGCACTCCCTGATGCGATGCTGTAGTAGACGGTAGTTATAATTTTCTCCCTGATATTATCAATCTTATAAGTGAAGAAGGTCATAAAGTCATTACTGTTGTGCTGCTTGGAAACTTCTGGGGTTGAAGCTTTATTTTTCATTAGTTTAGCAACTGTTTCAAAGAAATACCTAGGGTTTTGTTTATTTTCTTCTTCTAAAAGGGTTGAAAAATAAGCAGATCTAGCAGCTTCTCTGTATGCAATCGAGCTCTCCTTCCATGAAATGCGAAATACCTCTAGTTTAGTTTTCTTCCAGTTTCGCTCCATTTTTCTGGCTGCTCTCTTAAGGGCCTGAGTGTGCTCGTTGTACCACGGCGTTGGACTATTTTAAAATGTTTTCCAAATTGATGACATTTTAGTACAAAAGATGTAAAAAAAAAAAAAGTTATTAGAACGGATCTTAAAAACACTGCGATAAATGACTGGTGGAGTTTCCTCAGTCTAGGAAGTTCGGATCAGCCAATGCAAAACCCCTGCTCAGGAGGCCCCTGGGGAGACAGAAATAGGAGACAGCAACCCAACACCAGTCGAAGCATGCAACATAGCAAGCAGATTTTAGACTTAAGATCTTTAGATACCACTACAAAATATCACACCGTGTCATAGCTATAAGTACACACCAATACAGTGTCTCTCCCAGTGTTGTCCCCCAATGAGAAGGGGCAAAGCATCAGTGTGGATCCGGCCTTGTACAGGGATAGGCTACGCAGAAGACATAGTTAGGGAGGAAAACCACAAGCATTAATGGCAACACTTAGTCAAGAAAATAAACAATGCTACTATGAATGTGGACATGAGTGGTAGGCCCAGGAGCAAAATCACAGATAACCAAAAAATAATAAAATAAAAAAGAAGGGGAAAAAAGCAATAAAGAAATGACAATTAATCAAAGGAAAACAGTGGCTGGCCTGGTCCCTTTTCAAGAGAAACCAAGCATGTTAGTTGCCAACCTCATTAAACAGAATAGCATAGTCAACTCAAACATAACTAGACAATATAGGCCTACTTTTCAGTATGCTCAACTGTCCCACACCGCATTGACACATGAAGAAAAAAAGGTGAAAGTTTCCGTTGCTACGGACAGAGAAAGTCATTAAAACCTGTTCCAATGCAGGTATAAAACATTCAATGGAAAATGTACAAATTAAGGCATTTACCAGTGCAGCCCAGCAGCTCAGGTCACACTGGGGGTGATCGCATAAATGTTAAAACTCCATGCAGAAGCCTGTGTCCTCCGTGAAAAGTAGACACACGCTTCTAGAATTACCCTAATAAAAATTAAATAAATATAAAAATTTAAATGGCAGTGATTAAACATGCTCTACCATAACCAATTATACCTGCATGAAAAGGGAGCCTGCATGATTTGGGGGTTGGGGTAAATGTACAACTTGTAACGACTGGAAATAAGGTGTGGCCCCTTTAAGAGCTGTGCGCTCCCTGTTGAACTGCCGGCAGTATTGTATTTTATGTGCCTTGGGCCTCGAACACCCCTTTTACTGTCTATGCGAACACCCCATGTATGCGAGTAATTTCTGTTTGATGCTAATTTTTATCTTATTTCGTTTATTAAGTAACGATGTGGACAGTAGAACGTGTGACAGACAGTTAGGCTACACGAGTTCGATTTGGGAATAAAGTGCGAGTTGTGAGATGCCAATCGCCTCCGTGTGTCTGTCTGGCCTCTGCATGCAATAACTTCAGTTGTGAGCTATCCCTAATCTTCCTGAAGCAACGCGTTACAAACTGTACTTCAGTTTCATTGCGGGGACACCACCTTCACCTGCCATCATGTCTATTGGCTCGCTTTCGGGTTAAACTTTCCACGACTGCGCAACTGGGTTATATGTTGCCAGGTTGAGGTGACAAACGGGTTGAAATTGTAAATAGTCTGTGGATTGTGTGAATATAATGCATTTAATACAATCTGGCAACTGGTCAACATTAGACAAACATATTGGTCCGATTATTCATAAAGGAGTTTGGGCCATGCAAATTACGGGAGTTTCCCGGGAGAAATAACAAACCGGGAGGGGTCCAGGAGATAGGGCTAAAAAACGGGAGAAACCCGGGAAAAACGGGAGTGTTGACAGGTATGAGCAAGGTGTGGAGAATGTTGTCAAGGCTGGATCTGGCTTTAGGGTTTTTTTCTTTTCCTGCAGAGATGACGTTAGCTGTGTCCCAATGTGAAGGCTGCATCCTCCGAAGGCTGTATCTGAAGGCCGATTGGCCGTATTTGAAGGCCGATTGCGTCACAGGAAGGACGTCCCAATTCAAAGCCTGCTCCCTTCGAAGGTCGCATTTGAAGGCAGATTCGTTTCCCCGTGAAAGGAAAGATACATACATGGATCCTTAGCAGCTTATCCTACACCATCATTGCGCCGGTGACGGCAGCATTTTTATTTAAAAAAATGGCGGCTGAGAGTTCGGTGGTGGAAGGAAAATTCACATTGAAATGTAAGTATTATGTATTCATTTACTTAAAAATTCACATTGAAATGTATTATGTTTTCATTTACTTAAATAGCTAGCGAAACCAGAGTTAAAAGCCACAAGTTTTTCTTTCTTATAAACTTAATCTTAACTCCTTCATCACCATTGTGTGGCTTCATTTGTCAGGTGGTTTGACGCAAAACTTGTGCTAATATTACTTTAATAATTGTTTCAGGGAGCAAGGAGCAGACAGCTCAATTCATAAAATTACGGTCTGAAAATGACCATTTCTTTACGGGGGCGAAAAACTCTGCCAGCGTGGCTTGGAGGTAAGACAACAACCTATTTGTAATATTTGCAGTAGTCTGTCTCACTTGTGTATTATAAGAAACATCACTCACCCCATAAAGCCCACAACAATAAGAAAAGCAGTAGATAAAGCAATGGGGTTTCACTTTTATGTGTTTTTGTGGTGCTGTCATGCAAGCTATGTCTTCAAAGGTTTTAACTACATTTGAGTGTCCAGAAATATGATTTCTGAAGTATTTTGTGTGCATGTCCTAATGTGTCATATTTTGCAATGTTAACAATGCACTAATGTTAAGATTGCACCCCTGTGTTAATATTTTTCATAAGTGCCCTTTTCTGCTTTTTTAGAGCAATTCTGGAGAAAATGGGTCTGCTGGGGAAGGTTACTCCCATGCAGGCCAAAAAAAAATGGGACAACTTAAAAAAAAAATACAAAGTAAGAGAGTTAATACACACATCTTTGCTGAAATTTATTGTGCTGTTGTTGTTAACAAGCCATGGTTAATTTGCTCTGCCTTAGGATTGCAAGTGTCCTGGGACAGGTAAGGGTGTGAGTGGGAAACCCACTGCTGAAACTTGGCCCTGGTTTGTCCTCATGGATGAGGTGTTGGGACAGAGGCATTGCACCAACCCCCCTGTCCTCATTGCCTCAATCCCTGAGGACAGACCAGGGCCGAGTTCAGCAGTGGGTGCCCACGGTGGGGAGGAGCCAGCAGCACCACCAGCAGTAGCAGCACCACCAGCACCAGCAGCAGCAGCAGCACCACCAGCACCAGCAGCACCACCAGCAGCAGCAGCAGCACCACCAGCACCAGCAGCAGCAGCACCACCAGCAGAAGCAGCACTAGCACCAGCACCAGCAGCACCAGCACTAGCACTAGCACCACCAGCAGCAGCAGCACCACCACCAGCACCAGCAGCAGCAGCAGCACCACCAGCAGCACCAGCACCAGCACCAGCACTAGCACCACCAGCAGCAGCAGCACGGAGTAAGCGGGATTATGAGGAGGAAATGCTCAATTTAATTAGAGAGGACATGGCACTGCAAAGGGAGGCAGAGGAGAGGAGAGCTCGAGAGAGCAGGGAGAGGATGGACAGGCTGTTTGCTCTTCTTAAACGAATGGTGGAGAAGCAGTAGTTTTTTTGTTTGTTTTTTGTAAAAGAGGAAACTAAGTTCTGTAAAGTTTATTTTTGTAATCTAAGTTAACTTAAATTAGGTGTTTTATTTATTTTTAAACGAGACAACTAAGTTGAGTACAGTTTATTTAAATGAGATAATAAACATTATTTTTGCTCCATTTCTGTGCATTGCTTATTTTTGAACAATTAACTTGATGTGTTGGGATATGAAATAAAAAGGAATAGTTCTGGGAAACAGTATTGTCCTCTAGACCTCTACTACTGTCGTAAACTCTGTCATCCTACATGCATGTGCAATTGTTGGCAACCATGATAGCCCTGAACACTGTAGGAGGAGGTCACATGCAGGTGTTCTGCTTGCGTCTTGTCTGAAATGTCTTCATCCCAGGTACAGTGGCATATATTTCAGCATGTCATATGAATATAATTTCATGGGTTTTATTTTTTTCTAACGACAAATGATCACGATGATCACGTTTACAAGCCAGCGTCATTATAGTAGCCTAGTCTATTGGTTACCGTTTTACTGGATCTATATGATACTTCAATGCAATGTTTGAGTGGTAGATAATAACCATATATCGTCAATATTATAATATCAAGCTACCATAAATGAATCTGTAAATTTTACAAATCGATTTGCATTATAGCTTGAGGCAAGACAAATAAACAAATATCACAGACATGTTAGGTATCCTAAAATATGATTTTGTACATCTTATATATTTACTTGCAAGAATGTAGCCCCTACCAAACTTGTACACACCATTTAGACATAGGCTTTCATTTGATTTTTGATTTTTTTTTTTTGCCAAGTCCGCATCGGTCGGGCACCCCTCCTCCTCCTTCAGCTCACGCCAGCGAGAAAATGCTGGCCCAATGTTGATCCTCGTTCTGCCTTTAACACGATCACTTTCTCTTTTTCTCTTTTTGCTTTGCTCCGATAAAACCTTTGCTTTCTTGTTTTTCTGTGCTGCTTCGGCCATGACTATAACATTTGCCTCGCACGTCCGATTTTAAGGAAGTGGGGGTGGTGGTGGAAGTGACGTATATGCCGTAAAGCAGTCGAATTTTGTAGTTCTCTTTGTTCGCCGGTTACCCGAAACCCGAAGTTTAAAAGTACGATTAAAAACGCTACAGACCCCGTCAGCCTATGGCAGACGTGTCATTCAACCTATTGTAAGTCGATGTACCATCACAAGAGACTTGGAAATATATTATGAAGGTTGAAAAGTTACCTGGTGTTACTTTAAAGTTTTAAAAGCATTAATAGGAACAATATAATCGCCCATCTAACTAACGTTACTAACATGAATCGTAAACTGCATGAATTCTTGATAGTCTTTGTAATGTTTTACTAAAAAGTAAATACTTTGGAAATACCCAAACAGAATCAGGGCTGGACATTAGAACTAACCTACTATCCAAATACAGACGATTTTATGGCTAGTAACAATAGGCCTACTGTCACTTGCCAGTTTGTCCTGTTGGAATTGACTGACTACATACTGTACATTTAAATAGTTTAGGCCTGTTTTGTCAGGCTATCTCCACTTATTTAAACTATTTTAAACTATTAAAAGGTAAATCAGATAACATCCATAAAGATTACTCTGTGTAGTATTTTTTATTATTATTATTATTTTACAAAATACCTTTTTACTTCTACTTAAAGCAACACCATGTGATTTTTTACTGCTGTCGTAAATAATTTAGCCTTCCGCAGCCGACTGTCGCACGCGCACGCTCGCTGTTTATCCAGCACCGGCTTTGGAATCAACAATGGCAGACATCCCAACTTGCAAGAAGTCATTTCAGGGAGGTATATCTTGGTGACTGGATTGTTGACGGGGGGGAGGTGCGGCTGGTGGCGGGTTGACTAGCTTTCGTGAGGCACACTCGCAAGGTCTCTCGCTCTCTCTCTCTCAGCCGTGCTCGCGCTATGTATGTTATGCGCGCAGTATGTTCTGTCTCGCATGCGCGCTCTAGATTCCGGCAGATCTGAACTAATTTGCGGGCATCAGGGAGACGCAGGAGACTCCCGGGAGACTTGGGATGTCTGCAATGGCCACAGACAATTTGAGGAAGTGGTGGGGGAAGTGACGTATGCCATCAGAGTACTTGGACGTGACTGTGATTACAAGAGGTAAAAACGATATAAATACTGTTCGTTTTCTCACACAAACCGCTCGTTTCGTGTCGTAGGCCATCAATGTGTACTTACATTTACGAGTCATTAAATCATGTTTAATTTGGACATCTCTGTGCATCTTTGAGGTGGACCCCATAGGCCTGCATTATATGACTGACAGACAAGAACGGTTTGACCTAAATATAACAAAATTGAAAATACTGTGGACACAAAGACACCTACATCTTGGATGCCCTTGAGGTAAGCTAAAACATATCAAAAATTAATTTCAAAGTGAACTATCCCTTTAACATTTAACATGCCATAACTCTATTTTAAAATTCATATAACATTTTCTTACTGATGCATTTCAGACATCTGACTAAATACACTGCCGAAATATCACACATTTTATGGCACTGATAATGACCACAGTAGGTTTAGTATTTCACTTTAATTTTCAGCAGGGTGAGGGATATTGTCAAGCTAGCTGCCCTTTTTCAGTGTAACAGATTCAATGTCTAAATTCTTTGTTGGCAATTAGATAACACATACAAAAATCTATTTAATTTGTAGATGTGATATGTTGGATTTTTTATTATATTACAATATCTTTTTAAACTATTGCCTATATTTTTTGTAGCAGCTCTATACTAAAATGTTTGTATCAAATGTGTGTAAAATCTGATAACATGGATAAAAGAAACAAACTTTGTTTATTGTGATAAAGCTTGTGTTTGTCATTATATTCACATCTTAAGCAATGTGCTCAATACATTTTGTCAGATTTTTTCTACAGAGATTGTCCTTGAAGAGTCTGAGGTAGCGGTCTCTACACAGCTGACCACCTGGGGAGAGCTCACACCGGCTGTGAGTCAGGACTCTTCCCACAGCCTCAGCACATCTTAGGGAAGACCTTCTTCCCCTGTAGACACCTCTGCCTCAGAAACCGGTGGCATCTTGCTGGAGGGCTGGCAGAAATACAGGGAGCATCCACCTCCATCTACACAAGCCAATGGAATAGCTCCTCCTAACATCAAGTGGCTGAAATGTGATGAGATGTATGGTCTGTTTGAGAGGCCTTCCAAGTACAAGAATGCCAAAGGAGAGATTGTGGAGAGGAGGCTTTTAAAGGAGAAGATGGAGTTCCACCCACCCCCAATTCCTACTTCTGTCAAGGGAGGACTGCCCATGCATGAAGGCCTTTTACACAACCCCTGTCTTCTTCTGGCGCCCAGTTGGTGTGATGCAAGCCAAGATCCGCTGCCCTAGCTCCAACTGCCCTGCACCACCAGGTGAATTACCTTGAGAAGATAGGCTTTGGTAGTTATGCCAGGCAAGTGTGTGGGATGAAGTACAATTACACCCTGTTGACGGAGAAGCTGAAGTGTTCACATTCTGAAAAGATGAGGCTGGCAGTGAGTAAGACACATAGTGATACATACAGTGAAGATGAGGACAGTCATCATGTTCAGCAGTACATTTGGCTGGCACACAGTCCCAAGATTCTGAAGAACCTGGCCCCGGCCATCAGAAGCATGTTTCCTGCCATACTGTGTGGGAAGCGTGCTATTGACAAAGGCGTGGTTACTCTTCTGAATGACAGGGTCAACAGTGTGTCCATGAACAAAGTCCAGAGACTGCTGCAGCAGGGACATGATGAGTGGTATGTGGTGCGCCGTGACCTGTACCAGACTCTCTTGTACGAAGCCCACACAGCTGGATCTGCATTGTCTCAGAAGAGCATCCGGTCAAAGCTGCTGGTACTTACACCCCTCCTCTGCCCCGGACTCCCCTTCCTTCTGCCCGTGTGCTGAGGCATGCACACATGATCACACATGATGGAGATGGAGAATATGCCTGTAGAGCCCTACATGCATTGATCCTCAGAAGCCCCTTTCACACAGCGTGTTGATCCCGGGAAATTGCCAGAACGCCTTCTGTGTGAACGCAAACACGACCCGGGATTGATGCCGGGATCGATGCCGGGTTGGGGACCTAGTAACATTGCCGGGATCAGTCCCGGAACGCGCGCTGTGTGAACAAAAGCCATAACCAATGCCGTGTCGTCATGGGCGTCAGTTTGGTTTGAAATGTATGGAAGTTTTTTCCTAACATAATTAAAATTAAAATTAAAATGCTTAAAATATCAAATAATAAATCAAAGTCTCAAAACAACTGCTCAAATGATGAATCAAATTGTCAAATTATTAAAAAATAAATCAAAGTCTCAAAATGGCTGCACACATGATAAATCAAATGCTCAAATGCAATTTCATTTCCTCAATCGTGGAAGCATGAACTGTATCAAAAATCAAGTTAAAATTCATTTGTATTTGATTTTTAATTTTCATTATCAACCCAGTATAAATCTGTCATAATTAAATCTATAAGGCAATGCTCAAATCATAAATCAAATGGACAAAATATAAATCAAATGGTTAAACCAACATCGAAAATGGC